CTTCTCTTCTGCAGGCTGAACAGCCCCAACTGTCTCAGTCTTTCCTTATAGGAGAGGTGTTCCAGTCCTCTCATCATTTTTGTGGCCCCCCTCTGGATCTGCTTTAACAGGTCCATGTCTTTCCTATGCTGAGGGCCCCAGAGCTGGACGCAGGACTCCAGATAGGGTGTCGCCAGAGCAGAGTAGAGGGGCAGAATCACCTCCCTTGACCTGCTAGCCATGCTTCTTTTGATGAGCCCAGGAGGTGGTTGGCCTTCTGGGTTGCGCGTGCACATTGCCAGGTCATGTTGAGTTTCTCATCCACCAGCACCCCCAAGTCCTTCTCCTCAGGGCATCAAAACATCTTCCCTGTATTATTCACTGAGGTATTTTAATGATTGAAATGCAAATGACAGAAGAAGAATGTGTTTATATCTGGAGGATCTGAAAAACTTCAAGTGATTACACCCTTTCCTAAAACTAGATCAGTTAGTCTCTTGGACTACCAGCAAATGTCCTTTTCCCATACCATCGGCATTACACAAGACCTCCTGCTACGTCTAATGCTCTGCTGAAGGCAGAACTCCCAGATTTTTCTGGGACTCTGAATGTGTAAAAATTTATATTTTGATGGCATGGCAGTGCTAGACTGAGGATATATCAGAGTGTATGGTATCTAGAACTATATGCTGAGAAGATATGTGTGATTGTGTGTACAAGCATGGCAGGGTAAGATATGTTGTTTTGGCAAGCTGTAGGTAGGTAGGGGCTATGGGAGCCTCTGAAACTTCAAATTTGACAGAGGGAACTGGTTATTTGTGCAGACAATAATAGGAGCAAGCATACATCAAATGCAAGTAAAAAGTGTAAGAAAGTGAACAGTGAGAAAGCAGAATTTCTTGGGGAATCACTTTTTAAATTAAATATGCAGAAAAACATGCATTATCTATGCATATGCAAGTATGTATTTTAAATTGATACCACAAAAGTCAGCTCAGGAATCTATTCAAGAGCTCAATTTCAAACTAGAGTGTCCCGTTACTTCAGTTCAGGCTTCCAACTCACTGTATTTCAAACCCTCTCAGCAACTGAGAGTGTCCTGTATAGAAATCTCAGCTGTAATACATTTCGACTTTCTGCTTTTTAGAAAATACCGCTAAAAAGTGGTTCTTAACAACAATTATGTGCTGGTTTTTGGCGTATTTTTCCTGTTCCTCTCAATGAATGTGTTCCTAAAGCATCAATGATGTTATCATTCCCACTGCATGACTGAAAAGTTGTGATATAAACATACCAAGGAAACTACCATGGGTCAAGCAGCAAACCACTGAGAAAGCCAGCAATAGGAACCATAAGTCCCTGCATCCAAGTTCTCTAAGTGCCTTGAGTAGTCTAGATTCTCTCCTTAACACTCTTGACAAATTATTTATAGATGTATTCACATAGTCAGTAAGATATAAAGATGTTCTAATTATGTCATTCAAATCAAATGACAATTATGCCCTTAGTTTGCCAGACAATGCTTTGCCAAAGAAGGTTTGCCAGAAATGTTTTGACCGAAGAAAGGGGGAGCATCTGCAGTATCTGCAGACGAGACACTATAAAATCTCCCAGCTACAAGTCTGGCCTGTCTCCACGGAAGGCTTCAAGGTAAGTGCATGCATTTTGTGAGTTTGAAGAAAGAGGACAATATCCTTGCAATATTCCATTCCATTTCTCCTGCCTCTGGCAACCGTTTCCATGGGGGAATGCCCATGTGAACAAAACTTTGCAATATAATTTCAATGCACGTCTGTATATTCAATCTATAATTTGTTTCTGGAATTGCATGCACCAATAAGAAACAACTGCCATTCCTATTTTACAGGGTTGGCCAGTTTCCAGGATACAAGCCTTTCTCCAAAGGTAACAACCTGACTAACACTCTTCTACGCTGCAGTCTAAGACAGGACTTTTATACAGCTGCATGAGTTCTCTTTGTAAATCATCTTATATTTCTGTCGACTTTTGCTTAGGCTAGACTGCTGAAAATAGGGAAGATCTAAAAAGTGATGTAATTTTTCATTTTTAGCACACAAAGTAGTACTTTTAACAAGAATGTAATCTCTTGAAGATTCATCAGTCATAATCAAGGACCAGAACAGAGATTCATTTTCTCTGACTGTAGATTCTTTTATGTGAAGATCTCAGATCTGGTCAGAATTCAGCAAGGTGAGTTATCAAGCTGTAGTCAATATTCAGAAGATGTTCTACTTACTGTTATAATGCCTACGTGTTTTAGAAGACGAAGTCTTACTCTTGAGTTGGACTTAGGTACTTTTATGTTCAAATCGAAGTGAATTTCAGCGGTTGCTTCAAAGAGATTTTCTGGGAGACTAGATAGTAATTTATTAGCTGAAGAGCAAGGAGTTTTCTCACTGATATAGATTAGATTATTCTTCTCAGTGATCCACAAGCTTTTTTTTTCCCCACCAGACACCTCTGCTGACGTGCTTTCAAGTAAAGTGCAGACATGGCCTCTTCAGACTCTGAGATGGCTGTCTTTGGGGAGGCAGCTCCCTTTCTCCGAAAGTCAGAGAAGGAGAGAATCGAGGCCCAGAACAAGCCTTTTGATGCCAAGTCATCAGTCTTTGTGGCCCATCCTAAAGAATCCTTTGTGAAAGGGACAATCCAGAGCAGGGAATCAGGGAAGGTCACTGTCAAGACTGAAGCTGGAGAGGTGAGGAAAATTCAAGCTTCAGATTAGCGTTTGATTCCCACTCTGAGCTTTTAGCTGACATACATGGATATTTCGTTTTCCTGGCAGACCTTGACTGTGAAGGATGCTCAGGTCTTTTCCATGACACCTCCC